CAGAACACGATTTGAAGCAAACATTTAACACACAGGCTGCACACGTAAACCCTACGGAGTAGGTCATCTACCACCTATTTGTGCCTGCCGAGTTGTATAAGAAATGCTCCGAATTTGTTTTAACCAGGAAGAAATTGATTTCCCTGGGGTTAATTGTTCCCGAATGTTGCCATGCTCTTATCCGTTCACCCTAGGACTATTGCTACCCTTTTCCCAAACAGGCTCACTCGATTAAAATCAATCTTAGCACAAAGCTCTGTGTCGTTTCTTGATTCCTAGGCAGTTCTATATCAAACACGGGTCAGTATTTTAGAGGTTTAAGCAGTGGAAGTTAAACACTTCACAGACCTGGCGACCCCTACCCAACAAAGGGGTTTCGTTACGCCATGTTACAACGTGCGGATATTCTTTCAGAAAAAATATGGTCGTTTAAAGAATCAAGATAAAGGAACAAACGACGTTAAGGCAGAACGGAAGCGATTCGTGGTAGCCGCGGGCGTGTGTCGTACGAGTTCACCATGCGCTGTCACGGACGGAGCGCAGAGAAAAAAACACTGGTGCGATAGACGGAGAGGATTACGTTTGAATGGACAAATGGCGCGAACATTTATTGCCATGATCGTCTATGTATAAAGCCTGACTATTGATGATTCTTAGCACATTTTTTGTCCCCTTGGTTCGGAGCGACGAAGGTTTCTAAAGGTTTTGCAAAGACTAGTCTCAGTTACTTCGAGAATTTCTATTTTAAAATTAGACGAATTGCTGAGAAGAAGACAAAGCAAAAACCTTAGTTGGTGCAGTGGGTAACATCTGAGCCTCCGGAAGGGGTAAGCTCAGGTTCGAAACACAACTGACGTTCCGAGTTCTGTTCATATCTCATCATCTTTGTGGTCCTATCTCACATAGCACCGTACCAATGAGAAAAAGGAATACGCGGTAAATAAACATTAAAATAGTCGAATTTATAACGTCACTTTTTACTTACTGACTATTCTTTTTATAACAGGGTATGCTGTGAATTCTAGCCACAGCGATGTTGAAGTATTTGCAAAACGCCGAATCGTAAGTGTCTGTGGTAGAGAACGATCGCGCTGTTATCTTTTCCGGGGGAAAACGCGTTCACCACCACACCATGCGGGCGCTTCGCTTCGACGTTTTCACAGCCGTGTTCTGTAGGTGCTAGCAGCAATCACATTTATATTTACACTACTGCAGTTTGTTGTGGACGTGCGCTTGGTAGTGTGGGTGTACGAGTGTTTGCGCATTAAAAAAAAACCAGATCTGGTGCGGCCAAACACCTGTGAAAACTAGAATGTTTTTTAGAAGTAAATAAATATAAGAAGCGGTAAGCGCATGACGTCATGGTATGCACGTACACCAAGTTTTACAGAGCCCATAAAATTCAGCCACTTTCGGGCCGGATGCAAGGGTCGGCTAAAGAATAACGCTCTGAAAGCTTCCGATGACAACTTGAGAGTTAGATCTATTCTCGACATTAAGTTCAATTCGGTGGGGCCGGAGGCGCCCTGCAACACACACGGATAGGTTCCCTGCGGACTGTACCCTTCACGTTAACGAAGTGAGAAAATCCGCAATAATATGACCCGTAGTACATGAGAAGTAGTAAGAGTCGCTTCCAACAAATAAGCTTCCTATCAACTGAGGGACATGCAGTCAAGCTATCCATGAAAACATCCAGCCTAATGCAAGAATCCGGTATGTTACCTATGAGTGTCGATCACCAGGATAAAAAACTAAAGGATAATGCTCTCGACATTTCGAAACCGACCTTCCCTAAACCTCGGTGTGACTAATCAATATGTATTCTTTCTTGATAAGCTCGCACGAGGTTGATAAATATATTTATTTTCGGCTAACGTTTCGACGTCTTCGTCTTCCTCAGAGCCGATGATCCGAGTCGATGGTCCATGCTTGTTGTTCGCCTCGACGTTGCGTCTTCGCCTTCCTGTCGAGCCAGATCTTCCTCAGCGAGCCATCTTCTCGAATGAGGCATCCTCACTCAGTGATGCCCTTTTATACACGATGCTGATGGTGGATATATAATGACAATGTCCGGTGGTAACAACTTGTTTTTCTTCCGGATATACATCATTGCGCACATCGTGCAGAAGTCGGTGTTGTTATCAGCTAGCACAAAGCGTAGTAATATTTCGAAACCGACTGTCCCTGAACCTCGGTATCACTAATCAATATGCATTCTTTCTTTGATGAGCTTACACGAGGTTGATAATGATGTTTACTTTTTTTTGCTTTTCAAATACACTTACATATGAGAAGGATGTGAAAAAGCTCGAAAGATGTGAACGTGCTACGAATTAGTATAATTGCCCTTGACGCTGCCTGAACACTCACTGAGTGAGGATGCCTCATTCGAGAAGATGGCTCGCTGAAGAAGATCTGGCTGGGCATCACTGAGTGAGGATGCCTCATTCGAGAAGATGGTTCGCTGAGGAAGATCTGGCTCGACAGGAAGGCGAAGACGCAACGTCGAGGTGAACAACAATCATGGACCATCGACTCGGATCACCGGCTCTGAGGAAGACGAAGACGTCGAAACGTTAGCCGAAAATAAATATATTTATCAACCTCGTGCGAGCTCTCGACATTGATGAAATCCCTGGGGGTTGCGCCATGCATTCTACCTCATTAAACAACATATGGAGGTGATTGAATGCATATCTGGCCTTTACAATAACTCGCGGTAGCCTACCGATGTATCGAACTAGTGCTGCTATCCTGCCAGATAAGTCTGGTACCAATTTGCCAACGTCTCTTTTATTGAACACGTTAGAATACGATACCACTAGTAAAATATTCAAAAGTTACCCTTTCAATAGAAGGAAGTCGTAGAACATCAAAATCGAGCATAAAATGGGATGAGTTCAAGATGGACACGTCGTTAAAACTGTTGTGTAAGTAGATGGACTTGCGTTGCAATACAAACAAGGTCTGTAGTTTGATCCCGACCACAGGTACCCTGCAGTACTCACGTACTCCTGGCTTCGACTTAACGCTATGCTCAGACCAAACCCTATCCTTTCACGGGCAACATTTGCGTACCGCTCTTGTCTGGGAGAATAAAAACACTGTCCTGATCCATCAGCAGTCGTCGGAAGATCACTGTATAGGCCAAGTATGCAGTCGATCACCCCAACGATGCTAGATGAACTCTACCAACACATTCTGCAGAGATTGACCTGTGCAGGACGGTTTGTCTCGTAGTTGACAAATGGCTTATTTTGGTGGCTTATTTTCAGCAAAACTCTAGTTTCCGGGTCGTAGAGGAACGCTTGACTTTATAACATATTGCTTTATAACATAGTAACATATTGCTTTAATCGGTGACTAATGTCGTATCTGCGATGCCACTTTTCATGTATATCTTAGCGATAGTTGTCACTCGAATGCTCTATTATCATCATATAACATTGGAAGGCTCATTTTTTGTAGCTTTGTTCTGTACAATTGTGTTATTAAACAGTTGGGCCGTGAACCTGAAATTGCACCAAAAGAGGTCATGGTGAATATTGGCTGGTTTGGTGCAGGTTCTATTGAGTGAAAAAATACTAGTTTTATTGAATGGAAAATTATAATACTGGACTTTATGCACATTGAGACCAACAGGTGTATATTAAATACGCTTCAAAATACTTGTTCTTATGCTTACTATTTCCTCACTATTTCACGCATACCCGTTTCGCGGCGAATATTTCCCACTTAAGTTCTACGTTGGTGTTTTTGCTCTGCTCAACTACACTGATGGAATAAAATCGGAAGACACCGATTTTAACCAGAGCGCACGGAGTACAGAAACAGAAAGGCTCAAAATATCCCACATCTGGTCAAGAAATCGTCAGTGATCGTGTGACACAACATCTTGCTTCCAAAATTCAAACTTTTTTTGTTATTCTAAAAAGCCTTATGGCGAAGTTTAAGTCGTTGAAGGTGACCCACAACAACCATCTATCAATGACGACGACCATTTAAGTACGTTGAATTAAGCGAACAAACGTGGAAGTATTCGAGAGATTAAGTATTTAATAAGAAGCTTTAAGAGCAGTGGGGTGTCAAAGACCAGACAACGGAGTACTGGAGATACTGAACAACACTTAACAATGAACACTTTCACGCTTTATTCAGTTACTGTACAAAGAAGAACTGTTCACTAAAAAGTCATGAACTCCTGTGGTATCCAACACTGTAAATGTTGAAGGAATTGGCATACGAAATCTAGCTATAACCTGTTTTAAACGCCTAAACTTCCACATAGGTGGCCACATAAAGCTTTAAATGCTTAGGCGCTCGTCTGTTAAGAAACACTCAAAGAGCTAGCCCACTGGTATAAATACCTCCGAGATAACTGTTATGAGAAGGTTAAAATTTCGGCCATTGTTTGTTGCAGATTCGAGTCCAGTTCGAGTCGAGTCGAGTATGTACAGTGAAGCTAAACTCCAAAATCCCCGCTTCCCATCTTCTTGTTACGTATCCCTACTTCCAAAACCTCCCATTTCCTTGTTTGCTCTATGATTTCCTCTCAACGGTTTACCGCCTCATCATCGCTAGAAGGTGTTCCTGGGTGTCAGGCTGCGATGTACAGCGGGGGATTGATCCCCTGGCACAGTCTCCCAAGCTGAGAAGGAGCCCGGCGTTTCCATCAGGAAGCCTAGCTAAGAGTAAACCAATACCAGGATCCACCACCGTCCTGGTATCAAAGTCGTATGATGGTAAATCTCTCTCTGATCCACGACGGTTTTAAAATATTGTTTATTTCTACGGACTAATAAAATATAGATCATGCACTATTTGTTCCGGCGAGATCAAACTCAGTCACACTAAACAAGTACGGTAGCTAATAAAAAAGTATGGTAGGTTCAGTCAATGTAAAATGTAGAAGGTGGTAACGTCAGAGACTGAAATTGATGCTTCTTTTGTCAGCAAGTCACCGGTGTGAGTGAAAACGACGATGAAGAGGAATACCTTTAACTGCTTTGCGGCTCGGTTGTGGTTGGAACAGGTGCGGTGAGAGTGGGGAAAGTGCCAGTTGGGTAGTCGGCAGTAGCCCAATAGTCACTCGCAGCCTGTTGATTGAGCACGTACCTAAAATCAATGAATAATTTCTTATCTTCTTCGTTGATATGTAAACGACGATGAGGAGGAATATCCGTTCTCACTGACGACTGTGATGCATTCGATTCAAAAGACAGAAAAAACCCACTGTGCGGATGCCCACGGATTCGCAACATTAGCCTGGGCTACATTGTGGTACCCCTAAAATGTTGCACAATCTGATTAGTATGATTTATCACTGGTGAGTCTCAAGACTCACTGCTCACTCGAGCCCTAGATCTATTTAAGAAAACCTCACCGTAGAAGCAGGAGTACCGGAAGATGCTGGAGCCTTGACGTGCAGTGGAACTGCTTGTGGAGACGACTGTCCATTCATCGGTTGCTGTGGCACTGCATTTGGAGACACCCGCTTACCTGCCTGCTGATAGTAATAATAATCGCGAGGAGACATCTGTCCATTTTTCAGTTGTTCATAGTAGTAGTCTCCATACTGTGACGGATAATAGTTGTATCCTCCGTAGTATGGCGGTTGGTAATAGCCGGGCTCTCCTTGCTGTTGGGCTTTCTGCTGGGACATCTGCCCACTTGCCGCTTGGTCATAGTAGTATCCTCCGTACTGTGGGACTTCGTAATAGGGGTAGTCTCCATACTGTTCACCTCTTAGGGGCATGTATCCACTGCCTTCTTGGTCATGGGTTGTATTCGCATGTTGTGAACCAGAACCGAGCGGTGAAACCAGTGTATCGTTGGAACTCACGGGTTCCTGATTGGTAGCGTTCAGTAGCCTTGATGTGTAATAATCATAATCGTAATCTGAAATTTTTGCATTGAAGATCCATGCCATTAAAAATAGAAATTATAGAAAATACTCTTGGAGATACACTTACAGTGTCCTGCTATTATTGTTACAAATGCAAAAAACGTAGCCAGTGATAAACGATACATCGTTTTAATCTGAAAGAATGAAAGTGACGTGACATTGGATTAAAAAGAAGAATCTGCCGGAAACATTGGAAATCCACATGGAAAGATAATCAGAAAGATGAACGAGAGGAGGAGCGGTGACCGTTGGAGATGAGCTGAGTTGAAGATACGCAGAACCGATGAGAGGAAACCGAGAATTGACGTCTGTCGTGGAATCGTGGCCTTTTATAGCACAAGGACCGATCGCCTTTGATTTTTCCAGTGATCTGTGTCAAAAATCATCCATCCACTTCTAACAGAGAACAAGAAATCTTATGTTCGACCTTATTTCTTTCGAAATTTTTTCTCCAAATGCGATTTTCTTTTCATGAACTGCTCATTTTTTTCCTCTAACAAGCTCTTGTTCGTCTTTTAAATATCCCATGAAATATTCAGCTCTACACTGCTCCTTATCACTTTCGTTGTTGCAATGAGTTCACAGCGCATATCAGTGCATTGGGTTTCTTCGTTAATAACAAATCAAGTAAGATCACTGATTATGTTGGTGTTTTAAAAGAAAAATCAGGTCAAAAGTATGCCCCTTGGCAAAAAGAGTACTGGAAGAGCTGAATGTCATGACTTCTTTCAAGAGCCTTCGAAGACCATTGCAGTGATAGATTTATAGGCGGAGTATGCGAAATTCTTCAAAGAGAAAGGAGTTGGTCCATTGAGTGATCAGCGAATGTCCGAGATCAACTAGCAGAACGAAGGTCATCTCAGGCGGGAAAACGGCAGTTGAACAAGGAACGCGCTAGGGTTCCCAGTCTTCTGAGTTCTGCGCCATCGACTTTATCTACAGCTACCGTAACCTTTCCACTGCTTGTTTCAAACTTCATACCTAGTTTAACGTTGTGTTTAGAATCTATTAATACAACAGTTTAAAGGAAATTATTGGCTCACGATTCTCTCGTTGCCCGTTGTTTACTGGTCATTTCATATTAGAAATTAAGCAGGTGTTTGATGAGCAGAAATCCTTAGTTTAGACACTAACCTACCGGGACCACTTCTTTTTTAGATCCACTTGCAAGTACGTGAATTTTTTTCATTTATGACCGTTTAACTAAAGGGCCACATAATATAACAATTAACTAATTGTTAACTTTTTATTTACTACCTATTACAATTTTTCACGGCGGGGTATTATGTGTAAACCAGCCACAACTGTGCTGAGATATTTGCAAAATCTCCGGACCGCATTTGTCTGCAGTGGGAACGAACGCGGTATTACCCTCTCCGGCGGCTAACGCGTTCACCACCACACCATGCCGGTCCTTCGTTTCGCCTGTCTTTCAGCTAGTTCTATCAATCACTGCCATCAGCAATCATTCGTCAGCTGGATTGATCTGGGGAGCCCAAATCGGCAATGAACCCAGTTAAGCTGAGGCTATAGTCAAAATCACAATGTTAACCTTTTATTTACTGCCTAGTGTTTTTAATGGCAGGGTATGTTGCGAAGTATAGCTTTCAATGATGCTGAGATTAGCGGTTCCAAGCAGGGAGTGAAAATGCACTATTGAATATCCCACAGCTCTTTTCAAGATCACAATTTTTGCGAATCGTTATCAATCAGAAGCTTATGTCCTGATTTTGGGTTACATTTTCGATCGTTTATATGTCTATTAGGAAAAACCTATGAAGTCAATAATTGGAGTATCGACCAAAGTAACGTAGCCCCGTCTTGAAGTAAGTGCTCTCCCGAAATGGTTTGACCCCTGTACAAGTAGGAAAACCGGCTCAAGTTTATTTCTTTTAGCATCACCGTGAGGATCGCCCTCATCATTCCATATATCATGCTTCGACACCAAAAACAAAAAAAATTAACCATGAATTATTAAGAAACATTAATGGGACTATTGTGTTCCCCTTCACATGCATCATTCTCCTTTTCGAAAAAACATAATGCATTTTGATTTTTTTTCGGCTTTGTAATATGTTAGACGTCTAATGATGAGACTGATGATTTGCTAATAAATGTAATTCTTACACCTTTGCGTTTATAGATGTTGCTGAATGTTCTTCTTCTCGTCGAAATCTCTGGTCTAACATTCGCCACACTACGTCCGCAGCCCAAAGAACAGGTAACGGCTGGTTTGCCCCAAGAATTTGCAGTAGTTTTACAGGATTTTTCATGATGAAAAAGGTGTTAATCGCCACGTTCAGGAAGTGCGTCTTATGGTATGCATTGCAGTCACCGCATCGTCGCTGGTATCACACTGCATACACAAAATTTTACACTTACAAAGATGGGAAAGTAGTTGTTAGATACACGCATTGTCTCTGATTTAATCCTGCCTAGAAAAATGAACCCTTTGTCTCTGTGGGGTCAGCAAATTGATCTCTGGGTTAGGTAGATTTGTTTTGAATTGAATTGGTAGGTTTGTTTTAAAAAAGCTCCATCCATTCCACGTAGTTTCGTGACTGTCTCTGGGGAACACCTGGGTTCTGTAGTAGCCTTATCCCAGGAATCCAGACGGAATCATCTTGACCATTGTTTAGTTGTATTCACGAAAGAGGCAAACTGTTGTATTAACAGTAAAACCCATCCGCATATCCGAAAACTTTGTAGATGACTAATACCAGGCAACAAATTTAGTAAGAGAACTGTTGGGAATTTCATGAGTATTTTTGGGCCTCTTCCCAATGGTTTACCGTGTCATCATGGCTGGGAGGTAGTCGTGGGTGTTGAGCTGCGATTTATAGTGGAGGGATTCATCCCACGGGCAAGATCTCCGAAACTGGGAAAGAGTCTGACGTTTCCATCAGGAGGACCAGCTAAGGGTAAAGCAATACTAGGAACCACCACCGTTCAGGTATAAAAGTCGCACGGTGGCAAATCTCCCTCTGATCCACAAGACCTGCGGGTGCCTGTGGTGGTGAAAACCTGGAGCAGACTTTGGCCAGGCTGACCTCGGGATTCCAGGGAACTACAGTAGCTAAACCAGCAAAGCTCCGAAAAAGTGGAAAATTTGCCGGGGTCCGCACAATCAGTAACTACCGGTCATTTAAGTATCAATTGTGAAGTATTGTTGGGCCTAGTGGATAAATGAATAGGGCAAGATAAGAAGATGCATACTCAATGGTTCTAGGGCAGCAATCAAAAGATAACAGTTTACAAAAAACAAGACTACATCCTTCCGCATAACACATTTTGATAGAAAAGTTTTACCGATTCGCTTTCATGCGCAGTTCACAATAGTCGCTACCACACTCTGAACTATTTGAAACCCGTTAGCGCAGTTTCCTAGATGATAAGTGAAGAAGCAATCGAATTTACCAATCCTTTCAAAAACTTCATTATACACCGCAGAAGTGCGCGAATGCGCGAAACATGTTTGACCTATAAAATGACGTACGTGGCCTTACCGAAATATCAAGTCAGTATGTTTAACGTTTTGTTTTCTGCCTTCTATAATTTTCATGGCAGGTTACTAAGCGAAATACAACCACAACGTTGCTGAGATATTTGCAAAACTCTGGACAGCGCGTTCGTTCCCCACCATAGACACCTGCGGTCCAGAGTTTTGCAAATATCTCAGCAACGTTGTGGTTATCAAGTCAGTGTTCGTAACCTCCCTGAAAATTTTTTTAACCAATTTGTGTAGCCAGAGAGATGGTAGACGTGGTTTGGTCAAGGCATGGGAATGAACCAGCGACCATATGTGAAGGGGACGACCCCTCTAACCGCTCCCTTACGTGCCTTCCGCCTTGTGTAACCCTTCCAGTAACGCAAAACATTAAATATCCATGAGAACGATTGAAAAAATCTGATATTGGAAATATGGAGCTGAAGCAGGTAAAGCAGGTAGTAGACTACAGGCACACAACAAGGTGTAACCATTGCGACACACGCGTACGAAAATCTCGAGGGAGACAAAGTGCTTCAGATCGGTTGAGTTTCGACCTTGGTGATATGTATGGTTGTGAATGATTGTCAAGTTTTTCACACACTACTATAATCGTCGGCGAAGGCGCCCTGCAACAAAGGTGAGGTGAAATTGATCCTCACGCCCATGGCCCACTAAGCCTTCCATTTCTCTGGGGTCGGCAAATTGGTACGAGACTCGTCTGGAAAATTAGCAGCACTGGCTCGATACATCGGTAGGCCACCGTGAGTCGTTATGAAGGCCAGATTTGTATTCAATTACCTCCAAACGATGCGTAGTGAAGTCGAATGCATAGCGCATCCTTTAGAGATTGATCAACTCCAAAGGATTTTTTAGCTTCCTTATAATCGTTCTTGGAAAATTTCTGTGAATACTACTCTTCAGAACAGATTATTTAGTATGATGGATGAGAAAGAATGAAAACTGTTGAATTCTTGCTTAAGTGTACGTTGCGCTATGAAATTACTCACTTCAGCTAAATTCAGTTTTCCGTGAGTAATGAAACGTTGCCAGAGTTCGGAAGCTTTCTTCAACTACCGAATTCACTAGCTCAGCATCTTGGCGATTTGAAGAAGGGTATCGGTTTGAATGAGTCAGTGACAAGTAGGGTTATCTTAGTTTCACAGTATTCTTCGCAGCGGGTTGTTGAATCACTCTTCCAGACGTGATGAAAGATCTCAAAGCTTCTCTTTCTTCACCATTAGACAATGATCCAGTTGTAGATGAAAACGAGCCACATCCGTTCAGGTCCATTTTCACTTTACATCCCCATAGAATAGTTCTCACCTAAGTTTGTCTATCCTTTTTCTGTTCAGAAGGACGTGGCAGACTGGCGAAGAACTCGCTTTGGAGTTGCCTATGTGTCAACGGGAATGCTTGAAATCACTCTATGATACAGTAGCAAAAACGGTCAAGAAGTCCACTTACCTCGAGAAATACAGCACAATTTGTCGGTATGCATTGTATTTTCCTTTTCATCACTATCAATTGTCGGTGTATACTATATAAGTTTTTAAATGAAACAGAGCATGGAGCTAATCACTTATGTGTAAAAGACATTTCTCTATAACAAAGCGTGAAGCATTCTGCGTTGATCAATCACTTAAGGGAACGCCATGCACTAGCTTCTATTCGTAACATCAAAGGTGTTGCAGAATATATTTGTGGCATGTAATGATTACCTCCTGATCTACTATTGTGTCAAGGCAGTGCTTCTATTTTCCCAGCCAACTCTGGTAATTGTCTGATCTGGGAAGTACGATAAGCTTGCTTAACCCAAGTCGAAGAATCGAACCGATATATGTAGTGCTGGGCACATCGGATCACTCTGCTACACACCCCCATACTTATCTATTATACTTAGTAGAAACACCCCCCCCCCCCCCCCCATTTTCGTGAATCAGGGGAGCTGTCTCGTTTAGAATTTGGATTACAAAGGTAATGTGATGGAAGTAGGAATGCGTGTCTCATCCTTCGTAAGGAATTTTTGCACCACGCATACATCGAAGCACGAAAGGTTAGGATGCATGCATGATGTGGGCAGAGCTCATCGTGCCGAAGTGGTTTAACCTACCGTTACTTTGATTTACTTTTCTCGTTCTGTGAACATTTGGCGCGATACAGGAAGACTTGCGACTTTAGGAGCGGAAAGTTCTTCGCAAAACTAGAACGCTTCGACGGAAAACAAGCTAGTAAACGGAAGAAGAGACGTGGAGTAAAAATGGATAAAGCTCTCAGCGTTGATCAATCCCTGAGAGATGCGCCATGCATTCGACTTCATTAGGCGCCGTTGGAGGTAATAGAATGCATATCTGGCCTTTACAGTGACTCGCGGTGCTGTACCGATGTATCGAGCCAGTGGTGCTATCCTCCCAAACGAGTCTGGTACTAATTTGCGACCCTGGGGGATGGAAGGCTTCGTGGGCCATGGGCGCGGGGATCGATTCCACGTGAGTGTCGCAGCAGCGCCTCTAACCACTGTGCCGAGTCTAAAAACAAGCGAGTCTAATGGGAACATGATTGTGCGTAGGCACTGAACTGTTGAATTAAGAACACTTGCTTCAGAAGATCACAAGTAGTGGTGGTTTTAGTTTGCGCCAAGTGTTTGGCAACGTATTCGTGAATGATGGACGTCGGGATGAGTTGCTGCGAATTGCAGGGCATTCGAGGAGACGATCTTATGCGCAGAAGAGGAGAGTCGACGATGTGGCGAAAGCGACGAAGTATTCAACGTGATCAGTAGCGGCATACACTACATGTGTATAGAACAGCGCAACGGTGAGAGATTAGAAGTGTGTGTTCTTTCTCACAGGCTTTACGGAGAATCCTAGGCTGTACTTGTATTTCTCTATCGCTGTTTTTCTCCACAAGAAGTCGTCGTCCCACCTGTGTAGAGTGATGAACAGTTTAAATTTAAATTTTAACTTATTATTTACTGCCTACTCTTTTTAACGGCAGGGTATACATTGTGAAATATAACTTCAATGATGCTGAGATATTTGCAAAACTCCGGACCGTAGGTGTATGCGGTGGGGAACGAGAACGCGCTATTGTTCTTTCCGGGGAGTAGCGCGTTCACCACCACACCACGCGGGCCCTTCGTTTCGCCTGTCTCTCAACTAGTTCTATCGATCTTTTGCCATCAGCAATCACCATTGAAGTTTATTTAAATTTACATTTCAGCGTTCGACGCGTTCATTTCCTGCATAGATCGTGAAGCAGACAGGGTTCGGATACGTCAGTTTGCGTTTGTATAAAAAAGCATTTTGTAGCTAAGTAATTTTCCGTACAGAATATATATTAACTATTGTAGGATTTTCCCCTTTAGACTGGATGAGCGTAATTTTGTTGTTCTAACGATCTCAGGGAAATGCTGTCTGAGACTGTTTTCGGATCCAGCTGTTTTGCAACGTTCCCTTCTCTTCATCACGGGTAGTTGCAGTTGTTATGGAACCTAATGTGTTGCACTCCCTTTTCATCCCAAAACCAAGGCATCGCAATGTTACTCAGAGAAAATCGCTGCAACGGAAGCTACACTTACTTACTTTATTTTTGAAGTAGAATTAGTCATACAACGTGCCTTCATATTGGAAGAACTGTTGTTGCAAGACAGTAAGCCTCACTGCGGTCCGCAAATACGGGCGACTACCTGCCACGAAGGTCTACAGATAAATCACCATTGCAGGTGAAAGCATTTCGCTCATCCGGCATTCAACATCGGTGAGGGGTATTGAAAGCCTTAATCCAACCCCCATACGAAATCATATGGAAGAACTACTGTGGCTGGGATCTTACACGTATGAAGTCAGCCAATATCGAGCATCTTGGCTTTTTTTCTTCAGTCTGCGAGCAGGAGTGTTCTTACCATGGCCATGTCTTCAATATACTAAGTCGTCTTTCCTTAAGCAGTGATTTTGGTACGTTCACGCAGCTTTTCAACACTTTTTACCTGTTTCCAATTGATTGTTTTAGGTTATGAAAGGCGCCTCCGTCCTTTCGTTCTGCTGCTGCACTATTCGAAACAGTTTTTGCAGGTGAGCTGCTAAGACAACTGGGCCCTGCCACTCCCGCTGGTTCATTTGACGAGGCAGCTACCCCTCTTGAACCGATGGTGGAAAATGCAGCAGGTGGAGCAATTTAATGACTCTTCTCATACCAATACTTAGGGTAACTTGTGTCGGCAAAAGTTTAATATTGAAATAGATCTGGAATGAATAGGGAGAGGAGTGAATAGCTGGGATACACATGCATGAATCACTGTGTTTGCAGGTGAGTTACTGAGACAACTGCTCCCTGCCACGCCCGCTGGTTCATTTGGCGAGGTACCTATCCCTCTTGAATCGGTGGTGGAAAATGGACCAGGTGGAGCAATTTAGTGACTATTCTGGAGAGTGCAGTAGTGAAATAAATTTGGAATGAATAGGAAAAGAAACTAGTAGTGAGGAAGCAAATGTATGAATCTCTAGGAATAAAGCAGGCATATCTTTAAGATAATAGTGTTGTATGCATGTTTTCTCTCAAACTTCAGAGGCATACTACGACGTTGTCATGCTTTGCTGAAGTACTTTGATTAGAAGGACTATCGAGCGCCAGTTATGGTTATGGTCATAACTATGGAGTTATAGTTATGGAATGTTTGCACACGTTGCGAAATATCCTAGTCATCTATGCCAACAGCTGAAGAAATAGCTGCTTTCATTTCCTAAGTTTCTATGCGAATTTGACATGATTTTATTTCTAAATTCTATTCCATAATAAATTTGATTCAAAATGAAATAAAATAAAATAAATTTGAGATGATTCTAAATTTTATGGGGAATTTTTTCAGGACTCGTGGCTGATCAACACATTCCGCAAATAGGTTGGTTTTTTCTGATTATTGACTGATCTTCGGCAATACTATCTCTAGGTGTTTTTATTTCTTATCTTCATTATGTGCTAGTGCTGTCTTCAGAGACAAACTCGTTGCGAGCGTATGAGGACGTCATCGATCATGCATGCGTGTGAGCCGTTCGGATATCGTCCATGTGCTACACATCGTCCCAGAATCCAATCGAAAGTATTTCCAGATTTGGCCAATGCGCTTTGGGGTGTCTTCGAGACAAATTCAACCTAATCTGCAACGAAAGCGTTGGATCCCTGATTTCGGTAGAACCATCGATTCATACTTTATTGAAAGTAACGTAGTTTGCTGAAAAATCCAATCCGAATTGAGCGAATAGCAAAGAAAATCTAACGAACCTCGGGAAAAAATTGACAGGCACTTCTCGCTGACAGATTAAAGAGAGATGCTTTCTGATAAAATTCTTTGTAGTCTTTATTATTCGAGATTATGACGGGTGTGGGGCATGTATGCAGTGGTTAAATGTGTCCTGCATTAGCCGTGACCACTGGTTCACTCACTTTCCCCAGGAGAAACACCTCGTGATGTATCTCGTTGATATATCGAGAGGCCTCAGAAATTCTTTGTGTAGGGCAAACAATATATCCAGTATATAATATACCACTTAAAAACACTGAACACATGGCTCATTTCTCAGGAATTGATGAACGTCGGAGGTTTTATTCTTTATCTGTCTTGTGCCGAGTAAATACACTTGTTACAACTAAATGTAGACCTGCATTGTCTGTCTTAATACATCGGATTCGAGAAGATGGCTCACTGAGGAAGATCTGGCTCGACACGAAGGCGAAGACGCAACGTCGAGGCGAACAACAAGCATGGACCATCGACTCGGATCACCGGCTCTGAGGAAGACGAAGACGTCGAAACGTTAGCCGAAAATAAATATATTTATCAACCTCGTGCAAGCTTATCAAGAAAGAATACACATCGTATACCACCCAGCACTTCTCTTATTCTTTTCCCTTTTTGGAACCTTCGCCCATGCGGTCGGGCGGTTCATGTGTTCGCTCGGTTGTGAAATGACGATCTATCCTCTCCGCCTGTTCTACGCTGTATGTTGAATGGTGATTGAGAATCGCTATGAAATCTTGAGGTGATTGTTGTTAGAGCGTCTCTACGTCGTTACCGCAGGCAGACGCGACTGGCACATGTTGATCGAAGAGACGCTTACTGTCCGATATTTTTCTGAAACAGTGTTGATTTTTGGGATAGGTTTGCTTCTGGCCTGAATTCTAGATAGAGATTTGGGCTCTTCCAAAGCAGTGGAGATCTTGGCAAGTGGATGATTCCCGTGGCAAAAGGACCTGATTGATCTACTGACTTCAGACGATGTGAATGGCAAATTTGCATCCAAATTGATTAAAAATACTTACATTTTTTGGTAATTTTGCTTATTGTTGTAATCGTTCCGGGATATTTTTCCACAATGCGATTTCCACTTAACTGGCACTTAACTTGTCAGATGCGATTTCCCGTAGGCTCAAAAGTGCTAGTGCTTTCCCAGCTGTTCGTCACGTTTTCGGTGGGCCTTGTGAATTGGAAGTAGGTTTGGCACGTTGCAATTGAAGTCCTGCAAGCACGGTGGTGATTCTTGGAGTTGGTTCACTTTTTTATGAACTTCAATGTGGAAATGTCGTTCTCCTTCTCTGTTGGAAGGCGATGCTGTAGGTGAAGGTGAGTTGTTCATTGCAGTTTGACACTAAGAAACACCAAATAAATCATCACTGACAAAGTGTTTACTGACATTTGCTTCCGAAAATGTTGTTTTTGATTACTAATGCTTATTGTTTTCACTAAATCTCTCGCCACGTTTCAGGAAGCACTGGTTCGTCCGCTGGTAGCAGGACATCAGAAGTTCTCGTTGTTGTTTACGGCATTCGGTTTCATAGCGCCAGAAAGCTGTTCGTTCCTCTACAAGTAAGAAGCCATGTTTTCGTGATTTGATGAAAGTTAACCTGCAAAACTGTTGTAGGGGTGCCATCCTCTCGCAACATCGTATTGATCCGAGAGTGCATGAGGAGCTGCTAACGAAGTTCAGCAGAACAGAGGAGAACAGTACTTCTGAAAATGCTCATGGAGTGGTGAGTCGTGTTGTGATGGATCAAACTGAAACTGGCTATGCAAGTGTTTTCAAATTTTGGAAGTAGAATTGTGGAATAACGCAGTATTGTCATTGAACAAACTGAAACTGAACTACACCAAGAAGTGTCAGTTTTGTGAGGTTTGAGGCTCGGAAATGTCGCCATTCTCTTTTCTTTCTACAGAGGGACTCGAAAAGAGCAGTAGACGTGACGGATCTCCACCTTGTAGATGCGGATTCGGATCTGAAACAACTTAGTGAGTAATCAGACACTACACTTTCTTGAATTTACACAAACAAATTTTTCGTTTACAAAGGTACTTAGTACGGTGGAGAGATAAATGCGTGTAACTGTATACTTTTCATGTTGTTTCATTCACCTTCTTTTAACATGCTTTGAAATAGCATGTTGAGTGGATTTCATCATTTCGTTTGACTCGTTTATTCGAATCCATAATCCACGAAAGTTTCCGGATTTACATGTACGTTCTTGCGCTTCTAGAAGGATTTAGTGACGTAGAATGTGCACGTCGAGAATATCCCACCTGTATACGTGGGTCAGCCCCGCTAAAGCGTTTCTAAGTCGTCGTTAAAGGCAGCTTTCGTGGGTCGGTCTGTTAAAGTCACTTTTCTTAAAACTGAATGTTTATACGATTTTCTTCTAATGATAACCACCGTATTCAAAAGTTTCCACTGGTAGTTTGATGGCATTATGAATCTTCTAGACTTAATAATTTTGTTTTGGGCTTTTGAATGCTTTGAATTGCATTTATAGTAAGTGAAAGGCTGTTGATTGAGAAGTGCCATCTGCAATGCTCGGATGCTTATAATTTGCTGCGTTAGCGGATTTCTGTAGTTTCCTCTTCGCAGATGAAAGTAGAGGGTACTTGCCATTTCTAGTGTTACTTCTTATCACAACATCATCATTCTAGGCATGGAATAGCTGTGGATTTTCGATTAGTAGAGCAGGTTTGTCAAGTACTCCAGTGAGAAATTTCAGTACCTGCACTACTAACCGCAAGCAAACTAGTGTTAAAATAACCACTCATTTGCTATTCGCATATTAAGCACTTTTTCACTGTAAACATATTGATTAGAGATACACCGTGCTCCTCGCGGTCGCTGTTCCTACCACGCCTCGGACCTATCAAGCTTCCAGGCTGTGACATTGGCAGCAGACCTGTCTAGGGAGAGGTTTATCCGATTCGCCAAGGCTGCCATCTGCCTGTGATGACACTGGGCAACCATCTTATACACCTCTTCTGAGATTCTAGAGAGAAATTGCTCCACCAGTACCGAACGGCTTTCATGAGGAAGAGATTAGTGGAAGGCGAACTCCCACTCAAATTAGAAGATGTTCGTGGACGACGGATGTAAAGCAATGATTCGAATAAAGAAAGGGCTGGGATCTGCATAACATGCGGAAGTTGTGCCGCATAAAAAAATTCATAGACTACATTAGCACTCGCTTACAGCTCTCATACGACTATCGCCGTTGATTTTTACGATTTTTTTCCATGTCCTTCTGTTGGAGACGTCACTGCGACACACACGTGGAAACGATCCCCGCGCCCATGACCCATCCCGAGCGTTTCATCCTTCCGGGATCGGCAAATTGGTACAGCACTTGTCTGGAAAAGTAGCAACACTAGCTCGATTTGTCGGCAGCCCACAGCGGCTTATTGTAAGGGGCACATATGCATTAATTCACCTCTAAACGTTTCCTAATAAAGTCGAATACATGGCGCATCCCTCAAGGATTGATCAACGCCGAGAGCTTTTTTTATTAGCTTTGTCTCTTCTATCAAAGCTTCATCGTAGAGATGAAAGGAGATAGGTGACGAATACTTGCTGTTTTCATATGGCTACAGCTGCTACTTTTATACTTTATATCTACTTGTGCCGTATACCTTGGTGGTCGCCAGTTAATCCTAATTTCATTCTGATTTTAATTCAGTAATGTGATAAGATCTTAAGCGGGAACCTATGTTTATTGCTGCACTTTCATTTTTCAAGAGATATAGTACACGTTGATTTGTATTGCAGTAAATCTGCTTTATGCGAATGAGACGTTTGACAGAGCCGATGTTGACGATGGTGAGACAGTTTTCGTGGTAATTCCAGCTGTATGCTTTTAAGGTGAAGGTTCAGTCAAAATCTTTTAGACATCTCTGTAGCCGAGGATGACGCTATCCAACTCTCATCGGATCCATTTGTAGGGTCGGTAAATACTACAGGTAAACTGGATGTCTTCAGGGCTTTTTAGAATTATATGAGAATGTTAACTCTTTTATTTACTGCCTTTTTCTTCTTAATGGCAGGGTATGTTGTGAAATATAACTCGTATGAAATGCTGAGATATTTGCAAAACTCCGGACCACAGGTGTATGCAGTGGGGAACGAACACGCGCTGTTGTCCTTACCGGGGAGCAGCGCACTTCACCACTGCGCTGCTCCCCGGTAAGGACAACAGCGCGTGTTCGTTCCCCACTGCATACACCTGTGGTCCGGAGTTTTGCAGATATCTCAGCATTTCATACGAGTTATATGAGAATGCTTCATTTTACGAGATGATGAGAGTTTGTTCATTATTCTCCATTTATTCCTTCTCTTAGGGAGTTGCTTTCTAGATTCTTAGGCTCATTTTTTTTTATAGATGAGCCTTTATTCAACGATGCATTGACGGAGGGAGCGGGCAAGTTTGGCGATGTCATATTCAAACAGAGTTTACCAACTGAAACGTCTACGTTCAATTTCACCCCGAATATATCTGGTGCTTTATCCTATCGTTTTAAAAACATTTTTATAAGCTATAATGCTACAGTAGGGGCGCACATGACGCAGTGCTCGCAGGCTCCCTGCAACACGCACATGGGATCGATCCCCGCGTCCCTGGCACACCAAGCCTTCCATCCTGCGAGGTCGGTAAATTGGTACCAGATTTGTATGGGAGGATAGCAGCACTGGTTCGATGCATCGGTAGGCCACCGCGAGTCATTGTAAAAGCCAGGTGTGCATTTAGTCACCACTAAACGATGCTAAATGAAGTTGAATGCATGGCGCATCTGTCAGGGATTCAGGGATTGATCAGCGCCGAAAGCTTTATAGTACTACAGTACTACAACGAAATGTGAGCAACTCCGACATAGCAGTGAACCTTAACAATAGCGCATAAATTCATTTTTGTCGGATGTTTTTATGCTTAGCGCTGTGTTGAGTTTTCTGAAAACGAAGACATGGAACGATTTCTGGTTAGAGAAACAATACGGTGCTAATCTGCATAGAATGGCCGACAGCAGCAAGATAGTGGCATCTTATTCAACTGACCTTTTCCAAAGATAAACCAAAACTATGATGAGATAATCACAATAGATAAGATTCTCCCAAATTGATAAAGAAAACCATTGAGTGTGGAGAAACGCGATGGTTTTGTACGGTGAAGTACCCATTAATATTACATAGATATATTGTATATATTTATATATAGCAGCGCGTGTAGCGCAGTGGTTAGAGACGCTCTGCAATACACATGGGATTGATCCCAAGTCCCAGGCTTACCAAGCCTTCCATTCTACTGGGGTCGGAAATTTATTACCAGACCTGTCTGCGAGGATAGTAGCACTGATTCAATACAACGGTAGACCACCGCGAGTCATTGTAGCGAACCCTGTACCTGCTGACTAGATTGCATTTAATGAGAAATTATAGCACTTCCGTCGCAGCGGTTCGACCTGACGACTTCTAATGTTCTTCTAAAAGCTCTGACCTTATGAGTTGCAAAATTTGTCTGAAAAAACGCTCATATGGAAGTAGTGGAAGTGTCGGAAATGTTATTACTACATCTTCAGGCAGTTGGTTTTGAAACATTTCAAGTGAAAAGGTGACTTGAATCATACATATGCCTAATTGTGAAATTTAGGAATCCTTCACTGCCGGGTTATTCCAGTGGGTTCGACGTGATAGATGCGACGATATTTGGATATCTCTCCCTTTTCTTAAGTGTTCTCACTTGTTTTTAAATGTATTCTATGGACTTCACTACCCATTTCGTTTTATTGTTTTTTCAAAGTGTTACTTTAGAACTATAAAGCCTCTTATTTCAAGTTGTAGTGTGGTTATTAAGGCTGTTCTAGGTGCCTGATTGTGATGAACACTAAGAGGGTTGGTCACCCAGTAGGATGGAACTGTTAGCCGAGAGACTCGCTTGATACCTACCTTCTTCAGAAACGTTTTAATTATTGAGAAACCTTGATTATGATTCTCCAAAGCCTGACCAGCAAATTGGCAGTCATGTGGAAGTCATGCTGAAGCCCTCATAATTGTTTTGGAAGATAGTCCATCCAAGTTTCTAGGCTTCCAAGTAATTCAGAACAATCGCAGCAATAAAAGATTGCATAAAAACTCAATTATTTCGAGGCTTGTTTTCTGAGAAATACTAAATACTCCAACGTAATTTCATAAAATTCAGCCTTTAACGGCACCCTACCCTACGGCTACCCTCGTTACAAGAGATATCCACTTACTACATGGATACCTGGACGGCTGATCCTCATTAGTCGTGCGGGCCTCAGCATGATTCCCATCTTCTCGGACTTGAGCTGGTTTAGCCATTGTGGATCCCTAGAGTTCCGACGTCTACCAGGCCAAAGTCTGCCCCAAGTCGTCACCACCACAAGCAGTCGCCACCCTTGTGGATCAGAGAGAGTTTACCACCATGCGACTAGTTTAGTACCAGGACGGTGATGCATCGTGGCATTTGTTAATTGGTTATCCACTTATTAGATGCTCCATTGATGGAACTCTTGTTCAACGTCTCAAATTTAAATTCCAACTAAGAATAAGCCAATATCAGAAAACAGAAACTTCTTCGAAGAACCACAATTGCACGCATGCCAATCTCGTGAACAAACAAGAATTTGGGATTTCCTATAATAATGAACTTAGGAACACTCTAGCAAAGCTATCTCAGGATTTCCCGGGAAATTGCGTCCAATCAACATTGAAAATATCGTCGTGGCGAGAAAAGATCATAATGCTACAATCGAGCCACGCATGAACGTGAGAGTGATAGTTAAAAGATAGAAGAAAATAATAAGAAAAGTAACTCCGGGTCCGGATGGTGTAGTGGTGAAGTGGGCTGCTCCCCGGTAAGGACAACAGCGCGTGTTCGTTCCCCACTGCATGCACCTGTGGTCCGGAGTTTTGCAAATATCTCAGCACTTCATACGAGTTATATTTCACAACATATCCTGCCATTAAAAAGAAAAAAGGCAGTAAATAAAAGAGTTAAGATTGTAATAAGAAAAGTATTTGGAACCATGTGGTGTATAAATAGGAGCCATATAGTATTTTAACTACTTGGCCACCAGTTGGATGTGACTTGTAAAATGTCATTGCAGTTTTTTAGTGTTTGTCTACTTACTTGTCGTGAAGTGGATGAAGGAAGAAGTGTTGGATATTAATCAATCCTAAAGGTTGGTCCATGCCTTTTCTATTGTGTATGGTAGAGATGATTGTGTCCATACTTCGCCTTGCGGACCCATCCAGTCTATCACGTAAAGATTTATTCCATTCTATTTAATTATGATACCAACTTCCGTGTGGCGCAGTGGTCGGAGGCGCACTGCAACACACAAGTGGAATCCATCCCCGGGTCCACGGCCCACCAGGCCTTCTATCCCTTCGGAGTCGGTAAATTGGTACCATACTTGTCTGGGAATATAGCAGCACTGGCTCGCTACATCGGTAGACCACCACGAGTCATTGTAAAGGCCAAATATGCATTCAATAACCTCCAAATGATGCTTAATGAAGTCGAATTCATGGCGCATCCTTCAGGGATTGATCAACGCCGAGAGCTTTATCCTTCCTTATTCTTTACCAAATTCCCGACAAAAGGAGTGTGAAGGGCTTCGTTATCATGGGCGAATGTTCGGAGTAGGGACCATGTAGAATGACCAAAAACAAATATTTCAGAGACACCTCTGACTACTGCATTCAGTATCTGATGGTTAGTCTTGTCGCAGACCAAAAGCGATTTTTGCTTCCCTGAGGAGTAGGCGGATACTGGGGATGGACTCCCGTTTCTGCTGGTCCGATGTAGCACATACCATATACACTAACGAGGATGTATTAGTGCATGCGTACGTGGATGTGTTCACATTTATGCGGATTATGTTCTGCGAGTCATTTAAGCCAAGGCCTGCAATAAAGTGATAGAGAAGTATACGGACGGAGGTTAGGAGTCGCCTTCAACAGATAAGCTTTTCATCTCCTCTGGAAGAGAATGGAAAGCTACCCTTAAGTATACTCACGTTCAGACCTCCATAAGCTACGTGTGAGTGTAAAACGCTAAATACCGTAAATATCTGCTAATCATGGTGTGGTGGTGAACGCGTTACTCCCCGGAAAGGATAATAGCGCGTTTGTTCACCACCATAGACACCTGCGGTCCAGAGTTTTGCAAATATCTCAGCAACGTTGTGGTTGTATTTCGCTTAGTAACCTGCCATGAAAATTATAGAAGGCAGAAAACAAAACGTTAAATATCTGCTAATCGTTCCCCTGACCTCGAGATAGCCTCCGATACGGCAGCGTTAGGTAGCACGAGTACAAAGAGGCTACCAAAATCTCAGGGTCATTCTAAGCTGTCTAAATCGGAAGGGACTAAGGTGACGATCTGTACCTACAACGCACGCGTACTTGCATCTGACTCCTTGATAAAGGACTTGATTATGCAAGTAAGAAAGATAATGTACGATGTCACTAGAATAGGTGAGACGAGAAGATGCAGCTCATTCAATATTGTTTACTATAACGAAGAAGACTGTTCCTAGGAGCGCGTGATAATAGAGGAGTCGGCAGCGTCAAAGTTTTAGTCAGCACGGGTTTGAGCACGAACATCGATTCATTCGAACAACTAACAACTCAAATTAAAAGTTTATTGCGAAAGAAGTGCAAATCAATACCGACTTTGGCAGCCTTCGTCGTTTGCACACCGACATCAAGCTATGTCGAAGCGTGGACCTGGAGAAGTTCAACAGGGAAGACTATACATTTTGTAAGGTCGCCATTTTGATTTAAACAGTAGAATTGGACCCAGAAAAACTTCTGAAGGGAGTGATATTGCTACCCACGG